GTGAATGGTTGTCTGTCCCTGTGTGTTGGCCCTGTGACAGACTGGCGACCTGTCCAGGGTGTACCCCGCCTTTCGCCCTATGACAGCTGGGATAGGCTCCAGCGCCCCCCGCGACCCTGAAAAGGATAAGCGGAAGCGAATGGATGGATGGATGGACAGTACATACAAGTATGCAACTGGGTTTTCAACAAGCACAAGTGTGTTTAGTGAAAATATAGCAATTAAATAGTCAAAAACTGAGTAAATAAGTGTAAATAAATGTATTCTGGAGCTCAAACTGCATTGTTTTCTTTCCAACACATGTTCATACACGGATAAAAAGGATCTCTCCCCAGCACAGGTTAATGTCAAAAACGCTGTGTTTATTCAGCTTTAGTCTAGCTGTGCATTTGTGTTGGTAACAGAGGCAGAAAATAAGGGTTTCTTTTCATGAACATCTCAAATAAAAGCTATGAAAATATTTAATCAGAATCAGAATCAGAAAGGGGTTTATTGCCAAATGTTGAGCAGGTTTACAACATTAGGAAATTGCTGCGGTGCTTCAGTGCAAACATAGTGTCATAAAGATTATATTAAAAAAATGTTTTGGCATCTGTCTTCATCTTGATTACCTGCCATGCAGCAGACAGTCACAGCAGTGACGTGGTTATTTTCAGTGTCGTGTGCTGTGTATCAGCTGATGTCAGCCTGACCAAACTGGGAAGTCCTGAGCTGGACTGGTGTTGCTCTTTGACCAGAGTACTTTTCCAGAGGATGCCGCTTTGAACTGGAACTCTGATAATGCCCTGAATTCTAAGCAGCCCAGGCTGCCCCCACATTAAATTTGTAAGGCTTGGCACCAGGTCTTACAATCCGTCTCTGGGTTTTAAAAATCTCCACGGCGCACTGTTTCCAGACTGGTAGAAAGAACTCTTAGTAAATATTTTATTTTGAAATATGCAATTGCAAGAAAATATCCTTTTATTTTACAGAAATAATATGGGGACACTATTATAGGTTTCGTTTTTACATTTGCACTGTTGATGATAAAAACTGAATTATGTCAGGGCCAACTCTGGCAAACAGGATAGTCTTACTACTAGAGTGTTTTATATTAGTTGGGACAGTTTACTAGATCAGTGTTATTGATATGGTTTCTATTTTGTTTCAGGTTGAGTTACATGTTACAGCAAGGTCAGGCAAAAAATTATGCAGGTATGCATCTCCATAGAGGTCTAAATAATGACAAGAATCTGTAACCTTTACAAAAGCTGCAATGCAGTACTTTCACTAAAAGTAATGTTAAACTCCATTAGAGAGGTTACTTGCAGTTTCAGTCATCCAGGAAACTCCTGTGTTTGACATCCTGTAAGCTCTCCTGTGTGTTTGCGTATATGTGATGATGACCTTAGGTAAGATCTATTCACTGAGTGGGAAATGACCTCAGCAAATAACCCAGCTCATGGTGCAATGAGCTTGACTTGATTGTTCATATCACTGTAGAGATTTTTACATTGCGCAAAGACTGATTGTGAAATACACAATACAGTTTAAAGCAATAGCCCAGTTTATTCAGTTCAATTATGCTTTTAATGAAAACATTAAGGCTGCTATAATCTGTATTTTTACAGGAACAATGCATCAAAGGCAAAGTTGAAAGATGTAACTTGATTCAAAGTGAATTCCAGCTTTCCTGCTTCAGTTCATTGTTATTGGTCTTTTGTGATAGCAGGCAGCAACTACAGTTCCTGCTCAATAACAGAGAAATGTAGCTGGAGACTAGCTGGTGAGCACAGCATAGCATTTAGCAGGGAATGTAGCTGTGTTGTTCAAGTATTTGGAGGTTTTGTTGATGAGTGCAGAAAAGGTGGAGTTGATGTACTGTTGTGGTGAAAGCAGAGCCAAGTGTTAAGCAAAGCTGTTGATATACTGGTTTTTGCTTTCATGTATGACCATCAACTGTGTGTAGTGATTGAAAGAACAGGATCAGAAATACAAGTGGCAGAAATTATTTTCCTCTAAAGGCTGTCTGGGCTCAGTCTTAGAGATCAGTGAGTTCAGTTATTTTGTCAGAGCTCAGAGTAGAGCCACCGTTCCTCCAAACATCAAAGTAAAAAGGAAAAGAGCACCCCGAAGTGTTCTGATTAGCATCCCTCCTGGACACCTCCTAGCTCAGGTGTTCTACCCCAGACACACACATTGTGTCTCTTGACTGGCTTGGGATCACCTAGCCAGAACAGCTTGAGGAGGTGCATAGGGAGAAGGGAAATTTTAAGAAATCACACTCTTCTCTTTTTTAAACTACTTTAAAGCTGCAGTTTGGCATTTGCCATCATCCATGTCATGGTAAACAAATTCTTCTGTAACCATTCTCAGTGATGCTTGAAAGTAAGACAAGTGAATTAAATTGTCTTTAATGAAGTGAATTCTGTATCAAACACTATGTGAAAATGGGTTTGTGAATGATCCCAGATGTGAATCTCCTGGAATGATAGGATCTGCCTGATGCTAACTTTAAATCCGTTCATCTACTTTGTTGAGAATACTGCAGGTTAATGGGCACATGAGCAAACAGTAATTTGAGAGTGCCTATCCTGTGCACTGTGTGGGCATCCATTCAACTACATGGGTGTGGTAGGCTGAAGAATCACAGCACTGCAATCATGAAATCAGATACACACACACACACACACACACACACACACACACACACACACACACACACACACACT